TTTTTCCACAATACGTTAAACGATAATACAGATTAGGAAAATCCACAGATATAGATCAACAACACTTCTAAGTACAGTAAAATAAAAACGAATTTAGTATTTATTAAAGTATATTCCACTGCGTGTCTTAATTGCCCACCCACAAAACCCTATAACCGCCGTTTTCGTAGGGAAACATGCAGGCCTACATAAGCTACTGTTGCCGATGATAGGAATAGTGCACGACTGTTCCACACAAGGTGACTGTGTTCAGCTCTAATACTTGCGCATGCGTTGTTGACGGACTCGAAAAATAGTGCTCCGGTAAATTCAGTTGGTTGCTAATCATAAGGAAATCAATTGTCGAATCCGAGTTGGATTGACCTATCTCTCTCTTAATGCTCCAATACGCCAGTATAAACAACTTCGTGTGAGAGTAGGCATCATCTGTTGCATACCACAAATGGGCTCAGGTCTTGCAGAAGTTAGATGCACCATGAAGGCCGAACAAAGATGTATGTAGATGAGTCTGGTATCCGTTCTCATAGACGGCCAAGTTATATCGTCAGACGGCGGCCATACAAGCGACGACTTTAAGACTGTTACGATAGATTAGGGCGTGTGAGATTGATTATAACTAAGTATATACTTACTTGCCATAGATAAGCAGTGCCCTATTATTTGTTTCCACTGTTCCACTCCCTAGCAACGTGTTTAAATCAATTAGCTCTCAGCTCATCAACTTAATTAGTTAACTGGCATGACCTGAGCCTCCTTTATCCAAGTGAATCATGTTTAAACTTTCCCTTTGGGATTTGACTTCCCTGTACCCTAGTTTTCGTCCTTTATAGAGTATATTCCTCGAAATCTGACACATTTTCAATTTGGCTTGTAATGGACTCTGATTGATACTATCGCTTAGTGTGGTTAAGGGCTAATAAGGTTAACCCCAACAGCTGCGATCTTCCAGGCCCGGTTCCATGGGAGAAGAGAGAAGTCATGGGAATGCCAAAGTAGTAGGAAGAGTTTATTTTGCAGAAGGAGTGAAGAATAGATTGTAAGAGATTTGACTATCGGAGCGCACTTCCAGCCGCGAGGCGTACTAGGCCCGAAGTGGTGTCTAGCCGCTGCCACCGCATGGAGGTCTGTTCAGGTGGCTTGAGGCCAACCTACTAATGAGGCCAGCCTACTAACGTGGGCATCTCATTGGACAAATTGAGGTCATCACGGAAGAGACAAGGTGCGTGCGTTCATTATCAGTGAAGGTCGCGCGTCCGTTTACGCACGGTCCGAGGCACGCGGAAAACTGCCTTTGCGCGGGGTCCTCTGCTCTGAGTGACCTCGTCTGTGGCGTCACGAGTTAGGAAGGCGTCTGCAGAACCACCACAATACCTTACAGAATAACGCCTCTAGGCGTCGTTTTGTGAGATTTGTGACTCATAAGTCACCATGTGAGAAACAGCGTCGGCTGAAGCAGTGATGATAATTTGCCAACAGTTTTGTTAGAATCAAAGCTGTACACAGTGCAACATCGGAAAGTGGGAGAGTTTATGATAGTAGTTCTTACTGTGCAGCGCTCGGGGGACGCTACATGACCGAAGGGCTAATAGCGGTGTACAAACATCAGAGAGGAATCAAACTTTACAGATGGGATGAAAGTGTGCTGGGATTTAAAGGCAACTGATGCAGGGCTCGTGGTCATGACAGGCTGGACTTCGAACAATAGGCTTCCGCCAATCGGAATAACCCAGAGAATGCAGGGAATTTATGGGAAGTAATCGAATCTGAGAGGTCTCTTCCATCAATTGACTTCCTCGCCACAATAAAATGGCGCAAATTCCTAAGGTGGATTTGCATTCAAAGACTTCTGTGTACACTAAGCGGCAGGAGTTTCCTTGGTAGCGCACGAATGTTCCTATTGATATTTACATGTCTACTCAATGAATTTCTGTTAGGGTTAGGGTTGGGGTTAGGGTTAAGGTTAGGGTGAGGGTTAGGGTGGGATAGTGGTATCGTATGTAAAAAGCCCCAAGTTTCTGTCTTACGGGAAGCGTGGGAATAGGCATGTGAATATAAATAAGAAGGAAACTCCTGCCCACTAAGCTTTTGTCTCTCCCTACGTGCACCAGTCACGTTTTTGTAAATAAGTCGCCGGAAAACTGTGCCAATCAGATCCACTGAAATCCTCTTAAGCCAGCTCCAGTGGTCTTCTTGATCCCCTTGACCAAACAATCCCTATTCACGGACGCCCGTACGTCAATACAGATTGTATATTAGATTATTATTATAAACTCAGCCGCATGGGAGTAAGAGGTAGGCTTCCGATGTGAATAGAAAACTACCTAATCGGCCGCTCGCAGGCTGTCCATATCAGTGGCAAGCAGGTAACCAAGGTCAGGGTTGAGGGTGGTGTTCCCAAGGCTCCGTTCTCGCCCCTATTTTATTCCTTGCTTAAATCAAAGATTGGGTCAGCAAACTGGATTGCGATATCGTCATCTTTACCGACGGTATAAAACTTTGGGGCGTCATTCGAACTGCGTCTGAAGAACACAACTTGCAGGCAAACCCAAGATGACTTGCCGTTCAATGAGAGCAAGTGCAACATCATATATATGTTCTTTCTCAGAGTAAATGCTGTCTAATCTTATCAGCGCTCCCTGATTTCTGACTTGGGAAAACCTGTTGGCGAAAAATCTCCATCCTATTGCGGATGGCCTTGTTTCTAATCTCAAAGCGACTGGGATTAATATTGGGGCTGGGGTTATGGTTAGCATGGTTAGAGTTAAAATTAAAGTTTGGACGCAGTGTAGTTTACCGCATAGGATTTAGGGTGGCGCTAATTGCAGTAAAGAAAATTCATAATCCCTAGCCAGGCGAGCAATCGTTGTTTATCAGAAGGCTGGTGCTGTGAAATGTTTTTCCCTATTTTTTTTTACCTGAGACGTCCTTCCTCTTGGATAATAAGTGCAAAAGTCTTCTTCTGTTGGTGGGCCAGTCCATATAATCCGGCGATTCACCAGCTATTAGCCTACGTTGTGCCCTTGCTACGAGATTTTCCCCTGAGAATAGGACTTCAGTTCAGTGTATTCTTACTGCGGATAATCCGCAGTCTACCGAGCGCTCAAAAAAGACAGCGAGTCTCGTAACGCTTGCCCCTGGGTGACCTGTCTATTCATTCGCCCCGGCTGTCGTCATGTGGCCACAGCCATCGAGGAGCATGTGCTTAATCGATTGATTATCGGCGTTTTGGAGGGCATCTTTTAGCTTATCTTCCAGTCCCATTCTCAGAACTAGGGCTCTAAAATTTACTACGGATCTTAGGATGCGAAGGGTTGTTTCAGTCATAGCTGTTCAGCATCTCGCCTGCAGCCTTCTTCTGATTAGTTGCTGTGTCGCGTTGATTTTCTTCGAGGTGACGGAGCCGAGCACAGCCCGGATCGGCCTCTGGTCAGGTAGCCTACTTTTCCTGCCCACAGTGGGAACCGTTGTGGCCGCCTTCAGTGAATCTCACGGCAACCTGACCTTGATCCTTCTCGATCTGACAGGTTTCAGCATCTGCGTCATAGGTAACATCATGTCGCTGATTGAGCGAAAGGGCAATCCGATTGCCACTTTTTGGCTGGAATTTGCTGCTCTCCTTTTCCTCGTTTATGATCTGATATTACTTGTAAGGG